CCCAACTATCTAATTGCTCAATCATCTAATTACCTAATCGTTCAATCACCCAATTGCTTAGTTACCCAATCGTTCAATCACCCAATTGCTTAATTACCCAATCGTTAATAATATCGTGCATTATTAATCAACAATCTCAATTATTACAATACAATTTGGTCCACCAAATTACCCAATCGCCCAATTTCTCAATTACCCAATGGCTCAATCATTCAATCGTCAATCACTTTATCATTCAATGACTTGATTATTATCATGTGCACCTATTAAATAATAAAAAAAATAAATAAAATAAATTTATTATTATAAATTTATATAATACACTCAATCAACAAAATAAAAAACAAAAAAATAAAAAAGCCAATAATGGCATATAAATAAATTTGATCCATAGCGTTGAGTCATAGAATTCTATTATATTATGGCGCAGCGTTGACACTAAAAGTAAAATTAATAATGTTACTGGAAACTTTACTATTACAGAATCCCGCTGGAAAGCTAGAGATTCCCACTGGAAACCAAAATCGCAAATACTGATATTACGAGTAAGTGACAAGGTTCAGGTATAAGAATCGTGATGAAAATTTGTAGGTGATTAGGAAATTCAACTCGACTGATCTGAAAAAAAATAAGCATTAGTAAAAATAAAAAAAATAACGATAAATAAAATTATTTTTGAAATTCTTAATTAAGTTTGCAATCGAATAATCAAGCCAGATTTATTAGTTTCAGCCGAAAGCGTAACTTCAACTTGTTGAAAGCATTATACGATCCGAATTCCTCTTATAAAATCACTACTTGGTTATGATTCTAACTTTGCTTCGTTCATGTTTACAGTTTTTAAACTTGTGTCAAGTAATATTTATATTTTAGCAAAGTCAAATTAGTTCTGGTTAGCAACGTTGGTCAAATTAAGCTTAAATCATATTAGAGCACAAAATCAATTTTTACCTAACTTTACAGGCGAGATTCTTTATTTTCGGTGCTATAAACGGTATTCAAAAACGTTTATTAGATAGTTTTTATATGTCTTTGTACGATATTAGTTTGTTCTTTGCTTGGAAGTATCTTTATGCGCGTAAAAGACAACTGCAAAGTAAGTGATTTCGTCAATTTTATATGAAAATAGAATTTTATCATATGATGTAGATCATTTTAAATTCTATATTAAAATCACCTCTTTCGATAATCATGTGACAAATCGTGTGCCTGATAAATACTAATTATCTATAATTGAATTTATATCACAATCACTATCGTTATTTTCATCCATAACCAAACTTTTATCTATAAAATTATTTAATACAGTTTGATTATAAAAAATAGGATCGTTAATATCAACCAATTGTTCAATTATAAACTTTGGTGTTAAATTTGTAATATCTTTAAGTTTCACTTGTTCTTCTTCAAAAAATGTCTCTAATTCATCTTTTAATTCTATAGAAGTTAAAGTATCATTAATATTATCATCCCAATCATTGATATTATAAATTTCTTCTGAATCTATTTCATTATCTTGTTTTGAATTTTTGATTTGAATTTCACTAGATTTATTTGACGTAACCAGGTTTTAATTTGACCTATAATTTTTAATGTACTAGTTGTCATATTATTACGATATTTTGTATTATTATACCCAAGAATTGAAAAACATCTCTGCTTCTGCTGCATGAAGAACAAGAGAAAAAATACGTTTAACAAATATAACAAGAGCAGCATATTTTGGATTTAAAATACGGTCCCAATATATACGTGAATCATCTATTGGAATTCCTTTATCTAAATTAAAGTCACCAATAAAATTTAAATAATCTGCTAGACCATTTTTTATATCTACTGCTGATTCTCTATTCCAATTCCATTTTTTTACAAGTTTAATTGCAGTTGTTTGTATATCTAATAATGTTGTTTTTTTTGAAATTGCAAATTTTCGAGTTTTAGGATGACAAAATATTGCTAGTATACAAAGATCTAAATCAAGTTCTGCAAATTGTTTGTTGTAAACTTGACATATATAAAGCTTAAAATCATAATTATCAATATTAGTAAATAATGAAATTAGATTTTTTCCTAAATTAAATTAATGATAAATATGCATCTGCTAATGTTGTATTTGTAGTTTCTAATTGTTTAATAGCGTTATTAACAGGTTCAAGTATTTTCATTAAAAGTTTATTATTTTTCCAATGATTTCTATCTTCAATAATTTGAATTATTTTATGGTCTAATTCAGTTTTTGATTGTTTAGCTTCATTATGATTAAGAAGTTAATGAAATCCAGATTCATGTAAAAAAATTGATTTTATATTATTATATGCAAAGTACTAGTGAATATTGGTTCATATTACTAATACATGATTAATATCTGGTTGAGCTTGACGCCAATTTTCTAAACGTTTAGACCAAATATATGATGTTTTAAAAGGTTACTAATCTGTTATTTTTCATCATAACTTCTCTTGCAATAGGATATAAGAAAATTTCTTTAGAAATAAGATTAAGCAAATGTAAAATACATCCAAGACCTGTAATCCAAGGATATCTTAAGTTTTAAAAATAAAATTAAATTAAAAATTATATAGTATATTATAATAACATATATTAAAATTAATAAATTAATAATTTAAAATTTACCTTTCTGATATAATTTTGCGACATTTTTTCATTACATTTGGGCTATCAGTTACAATCCAACTAAATTGTTTCATATTTAATCCAATTTTATTAATTGCCTCTATAGTTATATTTGCAATATTTTTACTTGTATAACGTTGATCTTCAAATTCTTCTAAACCCAACATATGAATATTACCATAACTAGTTATAGCAAAAAATGCATAAACAGAACTATTTGAAATAGTTGTCTAGCCATCAAAAATTAATGTTAAATCTTTACAAAACTTTAAAGAATCTATAATTTTTAAAAGAATTCGACTATAAATTTTAGGAATTAAATCATGAATAAGTTTATATTTTAATAGAGGTAAGTAATTAATATTAAAAAGTGCAAGAAAATCACAAAAATATTTGTTTGCAATAATTCGAAAAGAAATACCACAAGTAATAAAAAATTTAACTAATGCTTCATGAATTATATCAATATTATCTTTAAATAAAAGATGAGTAAAATAAGAATTTATTGTTGTTTGAGATTGATTACTTGAAGTTTTTAGTTTTTCAAAACTGACAAAATATCTTCTGAATCTTAATTATCATCTATGCTTTTACTTTTAATTTTTTTAGCTTGTAATTCAATAAATTTAAATCTATCAGGTTGCAGAATATCTTTATAATGTTCAATTACATAAATATACATTGCATCAACTCTTCTATCAAAATCTTTATTACAATAATTGCATTGAATGGGCTATCGTCTTGTCTTCAGATCACACAATCCAGTCTTTTTAAAAGCATCCCAAATTGGATCTAAGAGCCCCATTTTAGTTAACTTTATTGATAATTTTATAATATGGTATATTTAATATAGTTAAAGAAGCAAAAATCTTATTAATAATATATGATTAAAATTTTAAATGTTTAATTATGAATAAATCAAAATACTTTGAAAAAATATGCTTTTATAATTAAATTTGTGTTCATTAATTTTTATAATTTGACTCATTCAAATTAAAATATACTTATACTAATTAAAAGTTTTTATTAATTGTTTATTAATGTATATTATTTAAACTTCTAACTACGCATACCAATTTTTTATAAATTAGTATATGAAAATAAAATTAATAAGAAAATTTATTGAAACATTGCATTTTAAAACACTTATCTTTACTATCGCTATATAAAACTTTAATATAATTATATATAAATTAATTAATTGATGCATCTTATAATTATTAAAAGCTAACTTTTATAAGGCGGCTTGCATATTTTATTATAATTAATATAAATTGTGCAGTTAACAGATAAATACTTGCTTTATTTAGTATCTTTAACTATAGAAATCTTGTATCTTTCTTAATATAATTATATATAAATTAAATTTAAATTTGTATCAGATCAATTTATATTAATGTAAAGGTAGATATATATAAGTAGCATAATAATTATTTGATCTGATACAAATTTTAATTTAATATATATCAAATATATATATACGTCAAATTAAAATTTGAAATTTAACTAGAATCTTATTAGAATTAGAATAAAAATTTGTGTTAAATCGCAAATAGATATTGGCGAATTATAAGTATTTTAATCTGACATAAATATTAATTTGATACACAATATATATATATATATGTATATATGTATGTATATATATGTATATATGTATGTATATATATGTATAACTATATATTTAATATATTAATATATATTGTATAACATTATCTCACCATCTTGCCAACACATTTTTTTTAGCCCGCCATGTCTTGCCTCACCAAAATGGCAAGAAATCGCCAGCTTGCCAACCACCCTAGTTGTAACACAACAACCCTTGCCAATATCTACCCTTGTCATAGTGCTCTGCTATTACTACAATATTACAAGTTTTCTAGTGAATATATCTAAAAAATTTACTAAGTCAATCTATTCTGCACTTCTAGGCAAAATCTAACAACAAGATGCCTACTTCTATTGCTTAAAACCCTAACATTATTGACCTCGATGCTTATTTTAAAAGCTATACAAATCGCTGAGATATTGCTATCCACGAAGATAATCTTGAAGATATTAAAGTCATTCCTAGTGGATTTGAGCCAAAGTCTTGTATTACAACAAATATCAGAATCCTTAAAGCTACCCATTTCTTTAAAGCACCAGTAACAACCGCAACAATTTAATGTCTTTGCTATAATTATCATACACACTTTGTCTCAGAAACTGATACTCATTATATCTCTATCTTTATGACTCCTACTATGTCTAAATACCAAAAAAAAAAAATACCAACCAAGCTATATCCGAAAAAATTACTCAAGCTCTAGCCTCAACTTCATCAACTATCCAAGCCTCATCCTCATCCTCTTCTCATACTTATACTTGCCAAAAGTGCTGGATACCAATTAACTGCAACTCAGTTAATAGCAACCACCAACTTCCAAACTATACTCTCTTTCTCAACAGTCAAGCCTATCATAAAGAATATTTACAAGAACCTCAACAATCATCTAAACATACACCTAAGCAACAGATTTCTAACCCCTTAACTCTACATTTGGCCCTCTCACCTCATCAGAAGATACTAGTATGACCTCCAATAATGATATAGATATTGATAATCAACAACAACAACATAAACAACAACCTCAATTTGGACAACAATTTCAACAATACCAGCAACCATTATATCAACACACCAACCTATTACAAGAAGACGACACCCACAATAATACCAATAATCAACAACAACCAACAAGCAAAGAAAAAGGGAAACAAACTGTAACCAACGAGACTGATACAGCCCAAGATGATAACATTACTAATAATCTATTCGACAGTATCTGATTTATATCTATGAATAAATACAAGAAAATACAGAAAGAAGAAGCTAAATCAGAATAACTACTTAAAGAGCTCCATCAACATAATGAAGAAAAATCAAACAACAAAGCCAATCAAGGTTTAGATTGGTTCAAGAAATACCCTATTACAGAAGATAAGACAAAATACATAAAACTCAATGACCTACCTAAACAGATTCTCTTCTTCATAAAAAAATACCTATATAACTTCTATTCTGATAAAGAAATTAAACCTGCCACCAAAAACAAAAAACCTCTTAAAGCCTCCTTCCAATATATTATTCGTGTCATAGCAGCTGAAAGTTTACAATTTCTTACCAAACTTATATATAAAGCCAACCTTAATGTTAAAGAAAATGCACCTATTCCTTTCCAATACCTGGAATCTATATTCAAAAACCTGCTCCTGAAATTTATAACTACACTATTTACCAAAATGAACTATAGTAAAATCCTTGAGTCAACATTAATATTTCCACTATATACCCAACAACAGAGACTATTAGTTTGTTTTAATATCACCCATCTTTATCTCTATCTTACTTAGAAATACCAAACTATTAACTATATCAAGTTCGCCGAAGACTTTAACTTTGCAAAGAAGTTCCACATTACTGCTGAAACTAGATCTTATGATTCTGAGGAACCATATCTCACAATCTTCTCAAACTCTAGATATAATACTAAAGTAGTATTCAATCTACCCAAAACTCTTTTTCTTAAACAATACAACATCCCATCTTTCTTTAACTCTAAAGATATCCTAAACAAATAGTTTGATAAATACTTCTCTAGCTATTGTAAGCAGTTTACCAATCCACCTGATAAAAAAGAAACTTTACTCAACATCCAAAGCCAGATATGTCGATTATTTATTTCACACCTAGTCTGCCATATGTCTGAGAAGCTTAACTTTTCTGAACCCTTATCAGTACGTGATAGAAAATTCTATGCTACCAAATTTACTAACTTCTATACTCTTTTATGCAAAGACCATAAATGTTCATACCATGATCTTAACAAAAACTATCTACATAATAAAAAACAACTATATAAAGATATACTTGAACACTCTTATGAGACCTATCCAAAATCTGAATTAGAAGATGAATCTGAATAGATTGAACCAAAAATTGATGCTTCTATCTTCTATATCAATGCCAGATATGAAGCCTTCTTTAAGAAACTGATTCCTACTACTACTTTGGACCAACTTGCTATCAAAGCTGAAGAAAAAACTAGCGCTGACAACCAAGTATCATTTAAAAAGAAACAAAGAAGTTTCTATTTCTATACATATCTTTCACTATATCATACTATTGCTGCCCAAAATCACAAAATTGACAAAAAAGATAGAGATGAGGTACTCAACTTTTTAACTAACAAACCAATCGAATTTGACTTTCTGGCCCGGACCATCACATATTTCAATCTTATTAAGAACCCTAAGGATGAAAAACTACCATCAATGTCTGACATTGCCAAATTCTATTCAGAGACTGCACTTCCTGCAGCTGAACTATTCCTTCAACAAAAATTCA